TGGCCCCACTGGTGGACCTCCTGATGGCACCTGGTATTTCTGGCCACTGTGTGATACAGAGTGTTGGACTGGATGGGCCTTTGGCCTGATCCAACATTGGCATCTCTTATGTTCTTATGTTCTTATTGTAATTTTATGAAGTTATAGATTGAATTGCCACAGGAGGTGGCGGCAGCTACAAGCATGGACGGCTTCAAAAGGGAATTGGATAAACACATGGAGCAGAGGCCCATCAGTGGCTGTAAGCCACAAGGGATAGGCAGGAACTCTCAGGCTGGGGCAAGGCATGCTCCGTATTCTTGGTGCTGGGGGGGCATCAGTGGGAGGACTTCTAGTGTCCTGGCCCCGCTGGTGGACCTCCTGATGGCCCCTGGTGTTTTTGGTCACTGTGTGACACAGAGAGTTGGACTGGACGGGCCTCTGGCCTGATCCAACACTGGCTTCTCTTGTGCTCTTCTGTTCTTGTTCTTATGAATTTTAATATTTTTGCATTTTTATGGCATCACGCCTTGTACAGCGCCCAGAGCCCAGCGCCAGCTGGGATAGAGCAATTAATAAATCTAATAAATAATAATAGGAAGGACAGTGTGGTATCCATATATTCTGGACTGATTGGAAGTGAGCGATCAAAAACACCGAATGCTGCAGCGGGAAGAAGGGGCCCGGGGTTCAAGAGTTACCTCCGCAGGCTCCCTGACTTATGACGTAGATGTCCTGGCGTTTCTCACAGCGTGTCTTCTTGAGCTCGCACTCGTTTGCGTAGGTTGCTCCGTCAGCCCCCCCCCCGCCGGGGGGGGGGGGGGAACAACAACAGAAGGTCATTCACCAGGTCTGGCTTGCGTTTTAGGCAAACCTAGACAGTCACCAACGGTGGAAGCCAGGAGACCTGGTCGCTCTGGCATCAGGTCCTGGGAAATAGCAGCAACTTATTCTTTGGCTGGATCCACACCAGCTCCTTCTCCTGGCCCGCAATGTTCCCTGTAAGCTGTGGAGTCTTGTGAGCAGAAATTCTACCTTGTGAGCTACTGGCATTAAAAGTTGTGAGCGAGCGATTTGGCTACTGTGTATATTAGTTTGCTCTGGAGCCCTCCTCCCTGAGCGAAGACAAAAATCTGTGCGCTGGAGGCTAAAAATCTGTGAGCTGGCTCACACTAACTCAGCTTAGAGGGAACACTGCTCCTGGGATATGTTTGGACAGGAGTCAGGGCAGTCCAGACTTCATCTTAGGCGGTCCCCAACTAGGGCTCTACTTCCGGATTTCGTTGCCTCTAGGCCAGTAGCACAATTTATTATATATTTATTTACGTTCTTTATCGTCCACCTTTCTCACTTGAACTCAAGGCAGGTGACTCAGAGCGAGTCAGAACCAAGCAGAAATCTAAAAACAGAACTGAAGCACAGCCTAAGGATTAACAGGTCACATGAAATGATGCAGAATCCCATAGCAGGATCCCAGTTTCAGCAAGCTACCCGACACTGTGGAGCATACATGGAACTCCTGCACCCCTGGCCACTTCTCCACACTTTAATGGAAGGAGCAACCTCTGCCTTTGTGTATAGGAAGAAAGTGTCCATTCCAGTGAAATGAAGGAAGAAACCCACATGGACAGGAGAAGGTCAGAGCCACAAAGGACTGCCAGTTCAGGACAACACGGCTGCGGTGTGTTTAACCAGGCGTCACAATAAGGCTGCTTGGCACCTACCAGATTTCTCGGCACAGCCGCACAGGTGAAGTCGCACACACAGCGGTCGTCTTCCACATCGTCGTCCCACGAGCCGCCGTACCGCCGGCAGCTGTCCCGGTCGCACTCGTTAGAATCCCCGGAGCCGGATCCTCCTGAGCCACATTCTAGATGGGATGAGAAAGCATGGGTGAAAGGAAGCTTCTTGGCACAAGACCTCCGTTAGGTGTTGGATCCCACTGGCTCCCTCATTCCAGGGATCAGGCCAAACCTGTGCAAATCTGAAACCGGAATCCAGCATTCTAAAAATCTTAGCGCTCGTTTAAAACCGCAATCAAGTTTCAAGCCTCTACAGTTGTTAACGGGAAGGAAGGCGACACGGTAGAGCCCGATCTCAGAAGCGAAGCAGGGTCGGTACTTGGAAGGGAGACCACCAAGGAAGGCTCTGCAGAGGAAGGCCATGGCCAACCACCTCTGCTTCTCCAATGCCTTGGAAGCCCATTGCTGGGGTCGCCAGAAGTCAGCTGTGATTTGACAGACCTTTACACACACACGTGCGCGCGCACACACACACAGAGTTATTAATCACTGTAATATTAACAGCTCTTTTGTCATTTGTGGGGGCAGAAAGTCCCGTCAAGTCGCAGCTGACTTATGGAGACACTGTAGGCACTGACCCCTCTAAGCTGTCCATGTGAGTGGCCGCTCCTTAACACAGGAAGCCCCGCTCAGCAGCAATCTGGAGCCGCGCAGGGTCTTGCACTGCCCACTGCCCAGGGGTCATTTCCTGCAGGAACGCACAGGAGCGGAGCTCCGGCAGTAAAGAGCCCAGGGGGCGGGCACATGCAACAGCTCTCCCTGCTCCCAGCAGCCACTGGCCACAGGAAGCAGCCAGGCAAGTTGCAGGAAACCCCACCCCCCCAAGATAGCAATCCAAAACAGTCCAGTGGCACCTTTGAGGCCAAAGTTTACCCAGATACAAACTCTCCTTCCTCTGTGAGGGCAGATCTGTGTGTTCCTCCCCCATAGCTAGCAATTCAAAGAGTCCAGTGGAGCCTGAGGAGTGAGCAATCCAATCTGACACACTTCCGGTGATGCCAGGGGGTGTGGCCTATGCAAATAAGTTATGCTAATGAGTTATGCGAATTAGCTCCTGCACCTCTTTTTCTGCGAACTGACCCCTGCCACTGCCCATTTTAAGATTATAGCTGCGGTGGCTCAAGTGGTTAAGACGCTGAACTGCAGGCTGTGGAAGATCACTAGTTCAGCAGTTCGAGACCCGAGTGTGCCGCATGACGGAGTGAGCTCCCGTCTCTAGTTCCAGCTCCTGCCAACCTAGCAGTTCGAAAGCAAGAAATGGCAAGTAGATAAATAGGGACCACTTCGGTGGGAGGGTAACAGCGTTCCATGCGCCTTGGTGTTTAGTCATGCCGGCCACATGACCACGGAAACGTCTTCGGACAGCGCTGGCTCTTCGGCTTTGAAACGGAGATGAGCACCACAACCCTAGAGTCGGACTCGACTGGCTTTCGAGCGAGGGAACCGTTACCTTTTTACTTATATTCCATTCAGGATTTGAACTGTAGGGGGAAATGATTAGAGGACACATTGCTTGTAGAGTTTTCAAGGCAAGGGGCAAACAGAGGTGCCTTCCCCTGCACGGTGACCCTGGAAGTCCTCGGTGGGTGAACCTGGCTTAGCTTCCGAGATCTACTATGACCGGGCCTTCCTGGGCCATCCTGGACAGGGCTTTGTCCTCTGCAGAGGGGGTTAAAAAGAAAATCAAACCGCACGTCTAGGTTGGGGGGAGGATGTCTTCCGCTATGGTGGGCAGACTTCGGAATTGTCTGGGATAGCAAGCCCACCTCCCTCCTCGATCCCCAGTCACTGCCCTCCAAAGCAATCAAAATGACCTTTTTATTATTTCAGAGAGCGTTTTCTGAAAAAAAAAGAACTCTACATTTCACGGCCGCCGCCGTTCCGCTTGATCTTTGCTCTGTTTAGTCAGGGAAGGTTTTGCTATGCATGCTTCGATTGCCGGTTTATATTGCACAATGTGTTTTATAGTTGTAGATCTCACGTCCTTTGTGCGGTGGTATCGAGGGTGAGGCATTAAGACTCCGGGTGGGGTGGACTGGGTTCAAATTTGCACTTAGCTGCCATGCTTACTGGGCGGCTTTGGGCCAAGCATTCCTTGACAAGCTAACCTGTGAGCTTAAAACGGAGCAGGGAAGAGCCATATACATGGTCCTGAGCTCTTGGGAAGGATAAAAATGTAAAAAGACAGAAAGGTGGGATAAGAAGACCCTTCCTGGCGAGTATGCTCCAACTCTGCCTTAGGGATTGTGCCACCTAAGAAAAGTCCCTCATATATGAGCTTCCTTACATCCCCTAGATTTAGAGAAGAGAAGAAGAGATTGGATTTATACCCGGCCCTTCCCTACCCAAGGGAGTCTCAGAGCGGCTTACAAACTCCTTTCCCTTCCCCTCCCCACAACAGACACCCTGTGAGGTAGGAGGGAATGAGAGAGCTCTGACAGAAACTGCTCTTTTTTAAGAAGAAGAAGAAGAGATTAGATTTAAACCCTGCTCTTCACTACCCAAAGGAGTCTCAGAGCGGTTTACAGACTCCTTTCCCTCCCCCTCCCCACAACAGACACCCTGTGAGGTAGGCGGGGCTGAGAGAGCTCTGACAGAAACTGCTCTTTTTCAAGAACAGCTGTGCCAAAGCTTGCCCAAGGTCATCCAGCAGGTGCAAGTGAAGGAGTGGGGAATCAAACCCGGTTCTCCCGGATTAGAGTCCGCGCACTTAACCACTATACCAAACTGGCTCATGAACTTTAGATATGTCTTCACGCTTGCTAGGTTGAACGTTTTTCCAACTGCAGAGCTAAGTGGCCGTTTTGCTAAAAACAGTATTCAAATAGATTGTGCGATGGTGGATCAGGTGCAATAGAGACCTTAGATCATTTTCTGTTATTTTGCCACCGGTGGATTGGCCCCAGATCGTGTTGGATTACTCCTATTTTACATAGACATCACCTCCCTATGGAACCTTGGGTGATAACCATACTCCTAGCAGATGAGGACATTGAAACGACTCGCTTGGTGGGAAAATATCTATCGATAGTGCTATTTTTAAAGCGGCTTTGAAATGCTGTAGGTAGTTTTATGTATACAAATTTTTAAAATTCTAAACTAATTTCCATAATATCATGGGATCTTATAGAGTTTAAGGAAGTCTATAAAATGTTGTCTATTAGTATTGTTTATGAGTATGTTTATTATAGTATTTATTGTAAAAATGTTTGGTCTAAATTATCTTGTAATTATATGTAATTTCTTTTATTGTAGCTGTTTGTATGTTTGGCTTAAGACCTCTGGTCAATGAAGCTAATAAATGAAAGGAAAGGAAGACCCTTCCTGAGGAAGCTCAGGTGGCCTCATTGCTGTAGGGTCCGTAAAGGTATTTCTTTCTCAAGGCATTTCCTGATCAGTTTGTTGGATTAATCTGGTTTACTCATCTTGGACTTTTAAAGCTGGCGTTAAACATTATTAAACACACTGGAGTGTTTCCAGTACTGCAAACACTGAACATCGAATAAGGCAGGGTTAAGTGCAAAGTGAAAAATCATGCAGAAGAGTAAGAAATCGCAGATATTTTTTTAAAAAATGAAAAATATGCATGTTTGCTTTCCCCCCTGTTTTATGAAGGTAAAGGTTCCCTTGCTCGAAAGCCAGTCGAGTCCGACTCTAGGGTTGCGGTGCTCATCTCCATTTCAAAGCCGAAGAGCCAGCGCTGTCTGAAGACATTTCCGTGGTCATGTGGCTGGCGTGACTAAACACCAAGGCGCACGGAACGCTACTACCTTCCCACCGAAGTGGTGCCTATTTATCTACTTGCAATTTCTTGCTTTCGAACTGTATTATACCGGTTATGAAATTCAGCTTTTTGGGGAACCAAACTGGGTTGTCCTGGGCACAGAACTGTCTAGGTTTTTCTTTTCTTTTACACTGATTACACACAGCACTGTAACAATACCAAATTCCACACTGACAAAAGGAGCATTGACTCTCAAAAGCTTATACCCTGAAAATCTTGTCAATCTCTAAAGTGCTACTGGACTTGAACCTAGCAAATTATTCCGCACTGGCACCCTCTTATAACTGGGTTCAGGGCTTTCTTCTGGAAAAAGAGGTGCCTGAACTCTCAAGAGAGAAATGAAGGAGAAACAGACGGGATTCTTTGAAACAATATCATGAACTTTTAAACATTTTTTGAGAGTTTTGTTTCCACAAATGGGTTCTGGAACTCCGCTCCGCCGCGTTCCCCCAGACAAAAAAAGCCCTGGCTGGGACACAGAATGCACATGTCTCTGGTCCATGACACACCATGTTCCAATGGCCTTCCAGTCAGCCTGCCTTCTTATCAGTTGCACGCACCAAGGTTCGGAATAAAGCTGGAGGCGCTCTTTTGCTTTCCTCCCCCCCCCAAGTATTTATTTATTTAAAAATATTTCAAAGGCTCTCCAAAAGAAGTCTCTCCCCCTCCCCTTTTATTGCATGATCAAAGGTGGACAGTTGGCAAAAAACACAGAGAATTATTCAAGCCCTTCTCTGGAGAGGACAGCTACCTGAAAAATCCCTCCCGGGGATAACCTTCTGATTAAACGCCATGTTCTGCCGTCTGCTTGCTTCTGCCCTGTCTCGTCCTGGCTAAACTGCAAGCGCAAGGCAGCAAGGCAGTTCTGGAACATGGACAAGAGGTCCAGGGAGCAAAAGGTCTTTTCTCTAGCACAACCGCAGCCGTTGGCGAGGATACGCGGCAAGAATCCATCTCTAGAACAGTAGGGAGTTGAGGCAAACTTTATGGACTCAATTCGCTCCACCACCGTGCACGCTATTTTCTGTGTTTTCTTGCTGGGGGAAAAAAACCGCTCAAGGATCCGACTGCAGCAAGAAGTTAGCAGCCTGATAGAAAACTTGGGGGCTCTCCGAAACGCCTGAGAATATTGGCAGGGTCGCCCCTGCCCCTTTATGCCTTATGAAAGCCACTTCTTAACACCCTTGGCCACCTGAAATTGTAAGCCCAATCTGTCAACACTCTTGATCCTTTATGACTGAATATACTGGTTTCTGTATGTGCTTCTACTGAGATTGGGTCCCA